TTTATGACTTGACATGTCAATGATATTATTACCCCTTCTTATTACGTAAAAAAGCTGAATTTGATTAGTTATTAATTTTTATGATCTAAAGAAGGACCATTTTGACATGTAAATCCCACAGTTTGCACTAAAGCCCTTCAGCCTGTTTACGTGTCAAGAACAGATCCAAATTCAAGAAAAAAGACAATTTCTGAAATAAAAAGACGGGCAACTTCTGGTGGAAAGTGGCCACACATAGTTATATTTCCTGAAGGTTAGTAGATTTATCTCTGGTGGGAACAAGCAGGTTCTTTCTCTTTCTTCCTGGTCCTGACCTCAGCTGATTTTCCCAACTCTTTCCATGAAAGGTCATGCGTCGTTGGGCTTTGCATTTATACCAAAAAAGGGGGTAAATAACTAAAAAAAAAACAAGATACAAATTAAAGAGAATGTTTTGTTGGAGTTTTTTACTTATGCAGTTATGGAGCGGGTTAACTGAAACCTGCTACGGTGTCCCTGTGCAATTAGCTTTCCATAATACTATGCTATGATTCTTTTGCTCAAGAGATTTGCCCTTTTCTTCTAGGAGGTGGGGCCCCATTTTTCGAATTTGCAGAAGGCTCAGCAATAAGTTATAATGATAATAATTTAATTTAATTTAGTTTACCTGGTGCTTTAATTTATTTCCTCTTGCAGGATGGCCCATTAAAGACTGTCTGTCTTTGTGCTTTTTTTAATTAACAGATCATTTTGGCTTTAACTGCTGAATTTCTCAGTTTGTAACTTACATTAAATTTTGCTCTTCTCAGGAACATGTACAAATCGAAAATGTCTGATCACATTTAAGCCTGGTTAGTACAAATAACTTGAATATTTGTTGAAACTTAAACTGCTCTGGAGAATTATTCTTTTCACTGTGACTAATGGCCTCTTATGTAGACATCCGTAGGGCTTTGTTACACATTTCTCCTTTACAAGCGCATAAATAAAGCCCTCATAAAAAAAATCTGCTTTTGAAGACTGTAAATCTGATCTTTTACTTGTTATATGTGATTTTGTCCTAAATCTGTTCATTGCGTATCAACCAATCAGAAAGTTCCTTTTTTTCACCTGTCAACCCATTGGAATGCTTTTTCCCTTTATTTTATCATCAAGCCATGCCCAAAAATTTTTAGTATATTAAATAGGTATTATTTCATGACCATTATTACATATGACATTTCATTTTTTTCTCTTGGGTCTATTTTCTCAGGTTATGTTTTTGTTGTGTCAATAGGTGCTTTTTACAGTGGCTGTCCTGTTCAACCAGTTGCCCTAAAATATCCTAACAGGCTGGTAAGTGAAAAAGTAGTGTAAAGAACTGTAAGGGAGGGTTTAGATGACACCGGGCAATTTAACACCGACGCAAGTTCACTTCAGTTACCTCTCATGGCTCAGTGTATTTGTTTATATGATACCACCACAAAATGTCATGCCCATGTGAGTCACACAGACGTGAGTTCATCCCAGTTGTTGTACTGGAGTGAGAATTTCACTCCTGTAGGAAATTTTACAACATTATCATGTAAACGTGAAACAACCACTTGTTTTGGTATGAAATCGGTCTGCCGATAGACTGGAATGGGTTAAAAAAGCACGTGCGTAATGCGTAAACAGATTTTGCCACTCCCTAATATAAATTGGCCCTCTGTTATATTTTGATCCCACTGTATTAAGAAACAGTGATGACAATTTCGTCCCAATTTTGGCATCTTACTTGCCAGGAAACTGATGCTCTACAGGTGAAGGAAATTATTGAAGATAAGAAAGTAAAGGAGCTTGCCATTAGTTAGAACTGGATTGCCAGATCAGTCCAGTGGTAAAGAGAATTCCACTGTTAGTCAGGGCTGTTCGGCCACTGGTTAGTCAATACCTAAAATTTGTGCCCAGAAGTTGCAGATTTTAATTAAAATCTATCAAAAAAAGCCCATTTCATTGTTAAAATGAACAGTCCAACTGACCAATTAATTGCCCTAGCTTACACTCATTTTTCTTAAATTTTTTGTGGATGTAGGACACTGTGACATGGACATGGTCTGGGCCAAGTGCGTAAGTCATTATCTCTGTTTTCATCCTAGTTTTCAATGATCAGAATTCAACACTTGGGACTTCAGCTTGGGACAGTGAGTCTAATCATTTAACAGACAACATGTTGTATTGAGCAACAATTTACAAGTTCCCCTGGGCCTCTGTATCAAAATGAGGTTAAGTGCTCAGCCTTTGATAAGGAAATGATTTTTTATCCGCACGATTAAAACTCATTTTCACAGGAAAGGTTGTGCACTTGGCCTCATTTTGAAAGTGAGGGTTTTTTTAAACTTGAAAGTAGCCTATTTTGAGTATATTTAATATGTAAAGGAAAATTGTTATTCTTTTGTTTTAGAATCACCCTTCTGTGGTTGACCTTATGCCAGTTTCACAACTACATGGAAATAGAGGTATGATTTTTGCTTGTTATATCTTTTGAAATGAGAATTCCATGACTGGTTGCAAGAGTGTTGGTTAGGTTAATGTTCCAGATGATGTTTCTTAGCTCAGTTCATATTCTCTCTTTTGTTATTGACAGATTCTGCCAGTATACAAGCCTGATACTGAGGTACATCACTGGGATATATTTTATTCATCTAGATAGGCTGCTTAGCATTCCAGTAACCCTTTAGACCAAGTTATGAAGGGGCGATTTGTTACTCAAACTTAAAAATCTGTGGAGGAAATCCTGTAAGTACAGTAACCTCTTTAGCAGACATTTTACATGGTGCTATTTATTTCTAAGGATTTTACAGAAAGAAATTTGGAACTTTTGTTAAAACTTGTTGTTTGAAAGAATTAATATTTATAAATCTTCTGTCAGATCTTATTTAACTATTGACTTTTATTATAGGAAATGCATGATGGCAAGCTATTTGCAAGAAATGTGCGAGAACAAGTTGCAAGGTGTAACATAATTGTATTGTGTTAAGTGCTTAGTTCCACCTCAAGCACCTCTAGTCTGCACTGTAAAGCACGTTGAAAGATGACATGACTATGGTCAAAAAACTTTTCTAGGACTAGAGAAGAAAAGAATCTTTCGCAGCATTCTCTTCTAGTAGCAACTTTGCCCAACAGCACTGAGATACACGCCCTCCTCTTCCTTCCCTCCCCTAACAGCAAGTGTAGTTGTCAAATTGAATCGCAACAAATTTTTGGCCAATTTTGCTCCTTTTTTTATTCTCGATGGTGACCAGAAAAAAAACGGCCCAAACAGCGTTTTAAAAAGGAGTCAGTTAAAAGCCAATATAAGTATAAAGTTGGCCTGGCAGTTTTAAAAAAAGTCGTTGTTTCCTTCGTTATAGAGTTTTACGGGTTCCTGTTACAGAACACACATATGAAGACACACGTCTGATGGTTCAGGCATCCAAACAAAACTTACCTTCCACAGCTGGCCTGGTGGAGTACCAGAAGATAAGCTCCAAACTCAGGTAGGCAACACACAACGATAGCGGTAGCAATCGACGGCATAAAAATTCAAAACATATTTCTGAAACGAAAACACGGTGTTTATTGTCAGACTCCCTATCCCCCCCTCCCAGTCCATTTCGAAGAAATTTACCTCAATAGGTTGTCTCCCGGGAGCGAGATTTATCGCGAACCAGTCACGAAGCTTGCAATGCCGCAAAATCATACTCGTGGCCTGTCATAAATGTACATTGCTTCTATTTTATTTACGCGCATTAAATGTACGTACGTACGCTCGTAAAAATTATGGGACAGTGGAAATCTACCCTAATAGACAAATTTACACGTAGAAAAAATATTTCTTGAAGTTGTTCTGAGCATCAGGTTTTTCTTATTGTATCCCGGCCAGTATCAAACTTGAGAGTATGAAAGATCTTCTGGATAGGTTTGCCGAGATAGATAGCAACAGGGATGGGCTGGTGGATTTGGAGGAGTTTGCTGAGTACCTTAACTTACCCGTCACGCGCCAGGTTAAACATCTCTTCTCCCTCTATGACAGAGTGAGTATCACACTTAGAAGTTTACATTGTAAACCATAACGGCAGCTTTAATCCTGAAGCAAGCGAGGAAATGCCGTTTCTGCGTGTTCAGTTTTACAAAGGTGGTCGGTGCATTGCTTGTTATTTTGTTAATCATGGCAGTGTGCGCATTTCCTCCTTATAAGAACTTAAAGTTCTGCAAGCGAGGAAATGCGCGCATTTGATAACGCCTAGCCATGCTCTGCGAGTGAAATCTCCTTTCTTTTATATAACGGAAGGTTTTTATCGTAAGCTTGCCTCTTAAATCAAATCTTCTGAAATTTGACGAAATTGTGCGCACTTGTCGTCTTATAACGCGCAGATATGTTGGGGTGAGTTCGTGCAAACATTTAAATGCCATTACAGCGTCTCTGACTTCAAGTTTCCGAACAACTGGCAACCAATGGAGTTGCTTTAATATGGGGGTGATATAGTCAAATTTTCTTGCCCCGGTGGCAACCCTAGCCTCTCAAATAAAATCTTCTGAAATTTGACCAAACAGGAAGCGAAGAAAAAGACTTTGTGAGACGCAAATGAGAACAAGAAAAGTGAAACAGCCATTTTCACTGAGCTGTTTTGCGTCTTTGCTCACAAATCTCTCGCTAATTGGAATTGGCTATTTCCGAGTTACAAAACCTTTCTTGTGAAAATGAGTACTTGAGAATAAAAAATATTTTTCATATCAATAGCTTCGCAAAACAGAGGCTTGGGGCGACTCTGGGATGCATCTTATTCAGCAGTTATGCCATCCACTCTTTAATGACACTGGTACATGCGCTCAGTAGTCTTATGTTTTGCTTTTTCCGCAGGATGAATCTGGTTATTTAGACTTTCGTGAATATCTTATTGGCTTAGCACTAGTGTCCCAACCCGCTAACACTGAAGATGTGATGAAAGTGGCCTTTCAGGTTGGTATCTTTCAATTATTGCAAACTTAACTGTTTTCGCGTTCGTTGAAGTAACCACCGTGTTGCACTAATTTTTTTCGCTGATCGCCAAGTTCTTTTTGCATTTTGCTGGAAGATTTCTGTGATTATGGAAGACTTGTTTGTCTCGTGATGACAATTAATTTTCGCGATTATCAGGAAGTCGTGTTCAAGTTGGAATTACAACACTTTCGTTTCTTGATTAAATTACATGCGCTCAAAATATAAGTGAAACAACATGCAGCGATTATTATATCTTATATAGATTATTATTATTGTATTGTGGGCGACAACAGGAGCCCGCAATCGTAGTCTTCAGTTTGTTATTACGCATACGTCGCATGCATGTAGCCAGCATCCGTTTGGACTTCCACTAAGAATGAATGGAATGCACAGAACACAATTTGATCACGGGTGTTTGGACCTTCTTTCACACGTAATCTGATCACGTGTGTTTGACTGTCACATGAAACTTACGCAAAGCACAGCGATGGAGCAAAAGCGTAAAAAACCCGCCTGCACTCCGTAACCTTTGGTTACTGCTAGTTAGTAAGTAGATAACAGAGAATGTCACTGTATACAGCGATAGTATACAGATTATTCACCTCTGTTCTCACTTCACTTTCACTTCAAGGCCTTTGACATGAATGGTGATGGAGGAGTGGACGAGACAGAACTTCGCCACATTCTTCAGAGTGCTTATCCTTCCATCACAGACTTGAACGTGAACTGTTTGTTTAATCAAGTGGACGTAAACCACAGAGGATCAGTCACATTTGGTAGGTGCACGTCGACATTTTGATGTCATTAGTGCGCTAAATTAATCAGTCGTTGTCACATAATTGAATACTCTCCAAGCCGGAGACTTTGCGAATAATGAAACTTGTGGTTACCTTGTTCTGCGGCAACGCCCGGACGATCATACTCAACCTACTTATGAAACGTTTCCTGGGTTCAGACCTTTCACATTTTTAATATTACTAGGGTCTGAAAGGGTATTCGCGGGATCCATGATTTGACCAAAATACAGTGCAGGATTCGGGAAACGTTAACGGGTTACGGGATTTGATTGATACCCGGGATACGGGACCCGCCAATATATGGGCATCCGTTCAAGCGTCATTAGGAAAAAAACTATATTCGGGATAGCGATAACAGAAGTTCGGGATGCGGGTTTTTCGTGAAAAAGGAGCGGGAATACAAGCGGGATCAGGATCTCTTTTTCCAGACCCTATATTACGGGCTGATTGCATAAGCCGGGCTGACCCGTTTTGCCAGGATCGCGTCAACTCTGAGATTACGTGATAACCCAGCCAACCCGGTTACCTGGAATCGAGATGGCGTAATACCGGGTATTACGGTAGGCCAGTTCTGAGTTGCCTCAAGCCTCTGTTTCAAAGCGAGGCTAAGTGCGACCTCATTTTTACAAGAAAGGATTTGCACTTAGCCTTGTTATGAAAGTGAGAGTTTTTGGAACTCGGAAGTGGCCTATTCAATAAATCTGTCGATCAGTCGACTTCAATTGGTTAATTGACAGAAGATTGATCGCTTCTTGTTTCTTTAGAGGAGTTTCGTGACTTCGCTCTGTCTCATCCAGAATATGCTGTTCTGTTCACCGATTTCAAGGAAAACCAAACGGAACGGGCAAGTGTGAATCCGAGCGGCCAAAACCAGGAACACATCCAGTTAGAAGCTGAGGCGTGAGTCGTGGAATGCTGTCATCATGGCCAGCTCTGTTTTTAACCGGGCTCGTGTTAGCTTTCGTAGCTGGCGGGATTTATCGCGCGTGGCTGCTTCAGTCTTCAGGTGCCTTTGTTGTTTTTGTTGAGGCTGTGAAGCCGCGAGAAGAATGGAGAAAATTGAGTCAAATTGATTCTTCGCGGCTTGCGCAGCTCCGCTACCAAAAGCATCAACCCTCTCCGGTCTCGCCAGCTACGTAGGCTAGACTTGTATAGACACGGGGAAATCCCCCGACTTGACACAATCACCACCACCTCCTAGACGAAAATTCTCAAAAAAAAAAAAAACACTGCGTTATACGTTGCTATTTAAGTAAAAAGCATAGCTTTACAAGTGTAAAAAGCACGTTCTAAGCTATCTACGTACCGAATGAAGAGGATTATATACTCATCATATTTAACTCAACTAAAAGTAGACCTAAAATAGCGGTTTTAAACTCTCACAAAAACATGGCTTAAAGGCCCTTTAATTTATCCTCATGATTATGTTGTAGCTTTTGGTTGTTAAAGGTATGAGAAAAGAAACGTAAATACAAGTATTCTTAACGGAAGGGTTTTTTGCAAAGGATGGTTCATTTTGAATTTGAATTTATCCGTTTGTTAAATGGCCGTAATTTATGTTTTTAATTCATACCATGGATCAATCATTATTTAAGGCTTGGCAATGATATTTTTTAAACTTAAGTTTCAACATTTTGGTTGTCGCTTAGGGGTATAAATACGCGTTATGTCTACCCGCATGTATATAGTGCAAATGATGGTTATACGGGGGACAGGTGCCCTCAATTAAAAGTGAATTGACGACGAATTGAATTTACTCCCCCCTCAAAGGGTTTTCACGATTGAAATATGCGTTAAATTATAATATTATTAATAGCTGGTGCAATAGACCTTGTCACGGTTTTCGACGCTATCTTGACGAGTAGGCAAACGTGTGAGAAATTACAGTGTTTATATGAGAATCTAATGTCGAATAATTTCCGTAGAGCGACTGTTCTGAAAATAATATCGGTTGTAAACTAAAGCTTCTCTCCTAAGGATTCTACTGAAAAAAATTAAGGGCGTTGAATGCGCTAGAAGACCTAAAACCACTTTTCTATACATTTGTCTGTAAGAAAGTCCCGGGAAAAATTACAGACAAATATATGGAAAATCTAAAACAAGCCTCTGGAGAAATTTAAGCACAGGTACGCCCCCAAAATTTTTAGCGCAATCCTTTGCTTTGCAGCTTTAGTTTACAATTGATATTTTCTTCAGAACAGCCGTCTTACGGAAATTATTCGACATTAGATTCTCATACAAACACTGTAATTTCTCACATGTTTGCCTACTCGTCAAGATGGCGTCGAAAACCGTGACAAGGTCTATAATGCAAACTATCTCCCATTATGCACAATGATAAAAAGCTAGCTAATGCGTTAGGGAAAATGTGTCGCCATAGTTTCAATAGAAGACATTTGAAAAATAGCCAAGATATGAAATCCATTCACTAGCACTAGTTACAGTTAGATCAGTTTTCAAGATAAGAATTGATTTTTTTTTTCCGATCATTTTATGGTATCGTCTATTGACTAAAATATTGATTGGAGTTGTTTTCATTTTTCTATGTGTTAGCCCCAGAGCTGACTAGAGCCCAACTTGTCCGATTACACCAATGAACAATACAAGAAGAGAATGAAATAAACTTTGGTCTCACTAAACCTCGTGATTTTCAAGCTTTTCTTGTTTTGTCTCATCTATTGCGCCTGTAAACCAATAGAAAGTTCGACTGTTCCTTAATGATACAGCTATCTTGTTCTTTAGGCCATGCCTTTGAAGTGTTTCGTTTCCCATCATGGCCCAACCCGTAAAAAAGGAGAGAATATAAATCTCCTTAGCCTGAGATCCAGCCGACGTTTCGCAGAGCCTGTGCTGACCTGTGCTGGTTTCACCGCAAAGGTGACAGTAGAGGTGTCGCCGCGAAAAGTTGCTGGTTGTAATTTAATGCTTCGACTTTTTCAAAAGCAAAACATCCTTTTCCTCTGTGCATATCTCATCTACTTTTCTCGATAAATGTTGTCTTTTTATTTTTACCATATTAAATATTTGGGTGATCAGTATACTTTGTGAAGACGGACTTCCCGTAGGAAAAGTGAACGACGCATTCCGCAGTCGTCGCTTTTTTCATATGTTATTGCTTAAGTAATCGCAGAATCCTATTCGGTATTAAGCGCCGGAAATTCACTGTAATTTCTTAAAATGTTAACCTGTTATCATCATCATCATCATTATTATTATCATTATCATTTTCATTATCACCTTGCCCTATCCTTTTCGTGCCTCGAGGCACATACAGCTGTAAGGCATCCACAGAGTCCCTCTACTTGTCTCGGTTAACTGCTACGGTCTTCAATTCCTCCCACGATTGCCATCCTTCTTCTGTTCTTTCTTTTTCAACCGATCTCCTCCAGGTGGTTTTTTGTCTTCCTCTTCTTTTTTTCCTTCTAATGCCCAAGTCATTGCTATGTTGCAGTCGCTGTTTTGCTCCTGTTTTAGTATATATCCGATCATCTTCTGTCTACGCTGCTTCACCTCTTTACTCATAGTGTTTCATGTCTGCTCTTTTGTAGGATTCTTCGTAGACACTTGTTACGAAATACATCCCCTGCTCTGTCGTCTCCCTTGTTCATTTTCCATGTTTCACATCCTCACAGCAGGACTGGCACTTCCAGTGTTTTATACAACCACGGTTTTGTTCTTCCAAAGATGTTTTTTCAAGCGTCAGATCCTCTTTACTCTGAAAAATCATTATCATTATAATTTTATTTTATTCATCTCTTTATTTTTTTGTCCAAATAATCGACCGACCCAAGAGAAGGTGATAGGAAACGAAACACCGAATAGGAACAACCCAACGGAGGGGAGCTCGATGGTTAGGGGCGATTTAATCTGTAAGGTTTTATTCAATAAAGAAGAAAGCGGCTGTATTGTACGTGGACTGTTACAATAAGTGGAAGCTTCTTAGACAAGCCGCCGATTTGTTTTAAGATTCTCAACTGATCGACAGCGTCTCCATGACAACATTGGCTGAAACAACAAACGTGAGGGAAGATTCGCAACTGTTCAAATATAAAAGTATTATTTGACGACATTTTGATAAGCCAATGTAAAGAAAAATCGAAAAGAAGAGGCGTGAATAAATTTTTTAAAGAAAATAATATAAATACAAATTGACGAAAAATACCACTCAACAACACGGGAGCCATGGCTATATAACGCGTAGGCAACATTGGACGAAGTTGCCTCCCTATGCCTCTTTCATCTGGGAAATTGCCTTAGAACTATGGCGAATTCATCCTTTTTAGTTCCACCAAACTCCACGGAAGTTAAAAGCGATGTTTTTGCAGCCGCTGGGGTGCTGGTAGTAACATTAACAATCACTGTAACGGTTCTAGGCGACTGTTTGATCTTTGCTGCTTTCTTTTCTAGCGTAGGTATCCGAACAAGAGCGAACTTGTTTTTTCTGTCTTTAATCACTGCGGACATTCTCCAAGCTGTTCTTGTGATGCCGTTTGAGATGGTTCGTATCATACATGACCCCGAATGGCCGCTCAGTGTGGCGGCAACAAAACTATGGAACTCTTTGTTTGTTTGCTTTGGGACGGCGTCCGCGTACAACTTAGCTGCAATCGGTCTAGAGAGGTATCTTGTCATATCCCGCCCATTCGAGCACAGTTCTGGCGTCATTTCAAAGAAGAGTCTCGTGGCAATAGCCTTCATTTGGCTTTACGCAATCTTGAGTGGCATCTTTAGCTTATTCGCCTGGAAAACTCCTCAACACGACGAGGATAAGTCTGGCTTTTCAATCTCCCTTTCCTACGCTATTCCATTACTGATTTTAGACAATCTTCTACCACTGGGTATCTGCATGATAACGTACATCCTCATCTTTCGAATCTCGCAGGATCACTCATACAGACTGGGCATCCTGTGCGGTTGGAGTCTTGATGGCCACAGAATACGCATTGCGAAGGAGAAAAAATCTATCCGAACTCTCAGTCTTCTTGTTGGCACATTCACTGTGTGTTCGCTACCGTTTTTTATTTTTCACGTAATCGACATGGCCTTCAATGAGAAACTTCCTAACCGTCTATATGCGAGTCACGTGGTTAAATGGCTGTGTTACGTCAATTCTGCCTGTAACTGGGCGTTGTATGGTTTTCTGAACCAGGACTTCAGAGACGTTTTGTTTGCTGTGTGTTCCAAGTGCCAGCTGCGCATTCTGTCAATTTATGGGCGTTTGATGAACTCCAATCGTGTCGAACCATTGTCGTAAATTATATCTAATTAGAACCGCTTGGCAGTTCGATTTCGTTGTAATTTCAAACATTTGACTGGAGATGACCAGCAGTTAAAACAGTATGCACAAAAAAACGTTTCCGAAATAAAGATCCGTTAGTGTCGGCATTGTTTAAGTAAAATAAAGTTGTAATTTAGTTGATAAAAATTAACTCATAGATTGATGAAGTCTGCATTCTCTTTTCGCTTGTATCCATTTTCATGACAACGTCGTGCTTGCTTTTTCACCCGGCGACGAATTCTCCCCTGGGACACTAAAAATGGATCCGCTTGGTTACTTAGCAATTATTACTGGATAAGGTTGGGATTGATTTGAAGAATTATGTAGATCGGCCGAGAAGGATTACACCCTGCTATGTAACTCTTCGGATCATACGAAAGCCGAATCCATCAATAGACCCGTTTACAGCTACAGCAGCTAGTCATTCAGGTGGTGGACAAAACACTGGCCCCTAGTCCATGGACTACCCTAAAATGGACTACGCCGCTGAAGTTTGGTGATTAGGGTTAGGAAACTGAGTGAATCAAGTTTCCGGTCAGTTTTCCCAGTATGATGACCCTAAATGGAACCTGACTGGGGGTTATAATTGACGTCATTTTACCAGATATCGCATACCTTGTTCAAAG